GGCCGAATGTGGCATGCGGGTGAAGCAAGTACGTGAACAGCACACGTGCTCAGCACGTGGTGGTGGCCAGACCGCTGAAGTCCTGGTGAGGGAGGTTCTTCATCGTTGGAAGGAGAAGGAGGGACGTCTGTTACGCCTTCGGGAGGCTGGTCAGGGTTGTCCACCACCTGGTGGCGGATGAAGCGGCTCAAAAAATTCATAAACTATTACTTAGCCTCTTAGTCTTAGGAACAAAAGTGCGATGCGCTCTTCACTGCAGATCAGATGCAGAGTGCAGTCAGTGCAGATCTTTTGTTTCCTTTTGTTGCAGATGTTTCTATTTGCAGAGAACGGTTCACGTGGTCCGCAGCGCACGTGCGGCTGCTAGTGCTACCTATGGGCTATGGCTATAGGCTAGGTGGCTACATGATTCGCACGCTTCGCGTGCTCAGTGCTTCTGTGCGCGGCTGCTACTGCTACTCGTACTGATCGTGTCTGCTACCACCTATAGCCTACACTGTTCGCACGCTTCGCGTGCTCAGCACGTGGTGGTGGCTACACGCTTCGCGCGCTCAGTGCTTGAAGTTCTGTGGCTGCTTCCGCGGATCAGCTAGCTACAACATTCGCACGCTTCGTTCGCACGCTTCGCGTGCTCAGTGCTTCTGCGGCCGCTACTGGCGCTAGCTACACTGTGCTACACTGTTCGCACGCTTCGCGTGCTCAGGGCAGCGCTGCTCCGCAGCGCTTCAGCGTGACACAAAAACACACGTCACAGGTGCCTCTTCTTTATAAGGAGCGTGACACACACACACACAGACACACGTCACAGGTGCCTCTCTTTTATAAGTAAAGATTAGCATTGCAGTTCTACGACGAGCTAACAGCAGCTCTACTTTGAGCTACCAGCAGCTCTAATTTGAGCTTACTGCAGCTCTACGTTTAGCTATTAGCATCTCTACTTTGAGCAAACACTCTCACAACTGGTGTAATCTGGCCATTTCCTGCGGCTCTGCCTTGAGCTATATTACATCCATTAGCATTGCAGCTCTACGACGAGCTAACAGCAGCTCTACTTTGAGCTAACAGAAGCCCTTATTTGAGCTTACAGCAGCTCTACGTTTAGCTATTAGCATCTCTAGTTTGACCAAACACACTCACAACTGGTGTTATCTGGCCTTTTCTGCGGCTCTGCCTCGAGCTATATTACATCCATTAGCATTACAGCTCTACGATGAGCTAACAGCAGCTCTACTTTGAGCTAACAGCAGCTCTAATTTGAGCTAACAGCAGCTCTACTTTGAGCTTACAGCAGCTCTACGTTTAGCTATTAGCATCTCTACTTTGAGCAAACACTCTCACAACTGGTGTTATCTGGCCATTTTCTGCGGCTCTGCCTTGAGCTATATTACATCCATTAGCATTGCAGCTCTACGATGAGCTAACAGCAGCTCTACTTTGAAAGACGTCATAGTATCCGGCTACAATGGAACAATAAACCGACATTCACAGCGAAAATCATACACACAAACGGACAAGCGCACACACACATGCAAACACAACGAAAGTAGAGCAAGAAATGAACACATCTAAGAATTATCGGCTCGCATGTCAGGTCAAAACATCACCGCAACACACCTACTAAACTACCATATATTCCATCAATTATCGCGATAATATTATAATAAAAAATTAAAATAATAAATAATCGACGTGGAGACAACAATTTTATAATAGCTATAAAGAGAACAAATTCTGCTGTCATCGCCACACTACAACAAAGTCATGAAGGTTTACCAAAATCGATTTTCTTGTCACAATCATCAGTGGAAAGCCGTGACTGAAGAGTAACCATGCTGAATCAATGATTAATATACATTCAATAATGTGTTACGAGAACAAAACAAAGTGCTAAAATAGAATGAGGGAAGGTGAGACAATAGAAGTGAAGTGAGTGCTGGGGCTGGGTCTGTGGGGTCGGTGGCACAGGTGAATATGGAAGAGGTAAGCACTGAACAGGAACAAGGAGAAAGAAAGCTGAAGGGAACGAAATTCAACAGAGAAAACAACACGATCAACATTCAAAGACCTAGACGATCAACGGCTAATTATTCAATGAATTATTACAGTACTGGATGTCAAGCACCGGCGAAGACACTGGGAACAGAAGATTTAACAACTACAGGAACAACAACAATAACAACAACAACAACAACAACAACAATGGTAACAAATTACCATCAAGATCAAAGGAGGAGTCAACGAACAGAGGTTAAGCAACATGAAGCGAGCCTGGGACCGATCGGTGTGGATGAGGAGAATGACACGGGGGACGACACTGAGGACGAGTTGGAAGATGAGACAGAGGACGAGGTTGCGGTTGGTGGAGACGAGGAATCGGATGGTGATTGCGATCGTAAGAAGTCTGCCGTTTTTCTTCATCTGTTGTCTCGCCCTAAGTGTCTGCAGGTGTATGATGATTTTAGTTTTTCTGTTCTTTGTCGTGCACGGTACGCTAGTCAGTTGAAAGTACTTGAGGCTGTTTGTATTCGTTTGCATAAGCCTGATCTTTGTAAGCAGAAGAAACATGTAGTTGCGTTAAGATTGTTTTCGTAGGTGCACAGCATGATTGTTTGTCTCAATACACAGTTCTAGCGTTGTAATTAGTTCCTCACCCCTGTTGCACTTAGCTCTCACTTCACTTCTATTGTCTCACCTTCCCTCATTCTATTTTAGCACTTTGTTTTGTTCTCGTAACACATTATTGAATGTATATTAATCATTGATTCAGCATGGTTACTCTTCAGTCACGGCTTTCCACTGATGATTGTGACAAGAAAATCGATTTTGGTAAACCTTCATGACTTTGTTGTAGTGTGGCGATGACAGCAGAATTTGTTCTCTTTATAGCTTTTATAAAATAATAAAAAGTACAGTTTACGAAACCGATTGAACGCACTACGAAGATTTCAGCGCTTAGCATAGGTCGCAATTCTACAGACGTCCAACTCCATTCTGTACATTCTCCTAACCCATTGACTGAATGAATATGACCAGAAGGAAATTACTAGCACACCACCGAGCGTGTTTGGTTGACAACGATAATGCAAGAAAAAAGAAGACGACAACAGGAAAGTACTAGTGTAATGGGTAGCCGAGTGGTAGGCGCGGTGAAATCAACAATAATTACTTTTATTCTACTTTCAGGTACACACCTGAGATATAATCGTTATTGAAAGAAGAAGCGGCAAAATAAATAACTTTCTCTCCGGTGCTCAACTAGAGGCTGAATCCTTATTCTTCGAGTTAGCTTTCATTGCAAACCAATCTAATCTAATCTTCTCTTCATCAAAACAGAAATGCGCAGCCGCTTTTATGCAGCAGACGACGTACGCTTACATACGGAGATACACTAAATATACATCAGGCAAAGCTCCGTATTAGTTCCGTACTGCTTCCGTATTGGTCGGGCAGGGATACTACACCCTCCCTTCCTACAGATAATCACGCCCTCGTGATTTTCCAAAAAATTAGTGAAGAGTTACGAACACAGCGTCAACCGGAAGATGGCAAATTATATCGGAAATGATAACGTTTAGAGTAGACAGAAGAAATGAACTGATAACAAATCATAAAGTAGAAGCACACCAGGTTCACACGACCTCACGGGGTCAAAAGGGGAAAGAACTGTCCTCCAAATAGGACCTGAAGCCACAGCACACTTGCTGCACAACGCTGGCACAACCCGCCAGGAACATCGCAGTTCAAAAACCGAACTGAATACACTATAACTATAAGGGGCGTTGTCACACACATTGTCCCACGTTAGCTGGGTAAGCCGTGGCTCACCATGATCAGACGCCTACCAAACTAAACTGGATTCACACACTCGCATAAAGGAAGACTGAAGAGAACAGGGAGACTGAAGGAAGACAGGAAAGAAAATGCCATACCTGGAATCAGCGTTAGTAACCACGGCGGCGGCTGGAGCTATGGCGGAGAGCAAGCCAGGTTTTACCTTCATCTTGGTTGAGCCGGTCACTCAGAGCGGCTAGCTCGGCGTCAGACAAATGACCTCCCTCCTCGTCTCGAATCGTGGTCTTCACATTGTCGATAGCATCGCTTTGCGCGACGTACAGAGTGATGGTCTAGCGAGGAAGAGTGTTGACGAAAATCTGCATCCCACCACGGAGACGAAGTACCAAATGAAGAGTGGGCTCCTGCTTCCGACTGCGTGCCGGCGAAAATCAAACGCTGCTGGTCTTGGGGAATACCCTCCTTGTCTTGGGCAGCAGCCTGCCTGTTGTCGTCCTCATCAGCTTCGCCATCACCACCAGTAGTTAACATGTAGGTAGCGGGTCGCCTGGAATCGCCATCGGAGTCTCCAGTGGATGCCATGCGGAGGGAAGGGTGATCCACGCTAGCACCCTGACTGTGCTGCAAGCTAATAAGTAGGGCCAAGCCCAGGACGGCAAGAAACATGATTCTCATCTTGATTCGTCGCAGGGAGCTGCAGCGGGTTGAGCCATGGGGGTCTGGGGTCGAATCACGTCGTTTTATTTTAAACTACACCGCTGCCACCAATGTAATGGGTAGCCGAGTGGTAGGCGCGGTGAAATCAACAATAATTACTTTTATTCTACTTTCAGGTACACACCTGAGATATAATCGTTATTGAAAGAAGAAGCGGCAAAATAAATAACTTTCTCTCCGGTGCTCACCTAGAGGCTGAATCCTTATTCTTCGAGTTAGCTTTCATTGCAAACCAATCTAATCTAATCTTCTCTTCATCAAAACAGAAATGCGCAGCCGCTTTTATGCAGCAGACGACGTACGCTTACATACGGAGATACACTAAATATACATCAGGCAAAGCTCCGTATTAGTTCCGTACTGCTTCCGTATTGGTCGGGCAGGGATACTACACTAGGAAAAATTGTATATTTCAACAAATATGTATTACGTTGAACGATATATAAAAAGCGCAAACAGAATCATAGTACATGTGTTTGCAGATAATTCAGGATAAGACGGTGCACGCAGAGCAATAACTAAAACTGAACAGTTACCAAAAAATGCCTATAAGAAAACGAGTTAGAGAGTTTGAAGCGTTTGAAGCATAAACAAGGAATAATGTTTTAAACGCTCTTTGATAGGTTCAAAGCATTTCCCATCATCTTGAAACGATATTGCTGTTTTCTGTGTTTTGTATTTCTATGGTCTTCCATGTTTCTTTTTCGCATTGAAATCTCGTCACAATCGATTGCACATGATCAGGTTCTCTCAGGGATGGATCCACTCATGACGTATTAGGCTGGATTTCTTAGTGAAAGACTTTCCACAGTCCTTACACGAAAATGGTTACTCTCAAGTATGGATTCGTTGATGATATTTGAGAGTTGACATTTCCCGAAATGCCATGCCACATTTTTTACACTTGTATGGTTTCTCTCCAGTATGGATGCGTTGATGCACGGTGAGATTTGATTTCGTCTTGAATGACTTGTTACACAAGTTACACTTGTATGGTCTCTCTCCAGTATGGATGCGTCGATGCCGGGTGAGATCTGATTTTTTCGTGAATGACTTCTCGCATGATTTACACTTGTATGGTCTTTCTCCAGTATGGATGCGCTGATGTACCGTGAGATTTTCTTTCACCGTGAATGACTTATCGCACGATTTACACTTATATGGTCTCTCTCCAGTATGGCTACGTTCATGAACTCTAAGATCGGTATTATGGCGAAACATTTGATCACAGTAACCACACCTGAACGGCTTCTCCCCGGTATGGATACGTTCATGAACATGTAGGCCGTATTTGTCACCGAATAGCTTTGCGCAGTACTTGCACGGAAACGCTTTGCCTACTGAGTGAAGTCGTGCATGTCGGGTAAGATTATGTCGCGTGGTGAACATTTTGTCACACTCTTTACACTTTAACGATTTCTCTTCTGGATGTGTACATTCATGAGAACTTAGGCAAGACGGAGTAGAAACAGATTTATCGCAATGCTTACATCTATATTGCTTTTCTCCAAGATGTGAAAGTTCGCGATCAAGCCTATCGGGCTGGCGATCAAGGGACTTTCCGGCTTTTTCGCAGAGTGTATTTTCTGGTTGGAGAAGGTCAGATTGAAGTTGACAAACTTTCTCAGAAAAAGGTTCAGACGTGTGATGAGTGTTGTTTATTTCAAGATCGTGATGATCGGAATCCGCGGGTAGACTAGCCACTGGAGAAGATACTGGAAAATGTCCGAAGTTTTTACGGGTCAAAGGGGTGTTCCGGGTACCCGGGTACCCGACCGTTAATCTCAGGTACCGTTAGTAAAAGGGTACCCGTTTGGATTTCGATGATCCAGTCAGTACGGAACGACACTGCTGGGATTGCGCATTCCAGGCGGGAGTCAATTATTTACAACTCCACGCTGGATGTCTGCATTGCTGTTGCATTTGTGAACCTAGTAGATCTACCTCTGCAACTATCAGGCACAGATCAATTTGGGAATCATAATGTGATGTCAAAATTCAACCTGAGAACAGAAAAATTAATGTCATTATTTATGTGAAAACTGCGCAAAAATTAAACATGGCTGTTAAAGGGTACTCGTTAACCCGCTCGTTAAGAAAATTACCCGTTCGTTAGTTAAAGGTACACCCGTTTGACCCCTAGAAGTTTTGTACATGCCCTGCGTGAACGTTCATATCGGCAGATTTGCTGTAGTTCTTGCCATATTCAGTGTGAAACGCTACTTCCTCGTAGCCTGTGTACTGATCTGAAACGGGTTCACGATAGCAGTTAACGGTTGGGGTACTGTTACCTTGCGAAATTTGATCCTTGTCCATTGCCGATGTCAAGGAATCCAAACATGGGTTTTCGACAGCTGTATTTGAAGCATCACTGGTCTTTGTATCCTTGTTCCTCTGGATTTCTGGTCGAGGGTCCCTGATTTTATCTGTCACCATGTCCTTGGGTCCATGATCTTGAGGAACACCGGCGCAAGATGTTCGTGATTTCCAAGGGCTGAATGCGGTATTCTGAAGACAAAAATGGGAAGAGGAGAATTCTGATGTGGCTACTTGATTACCACTATTGAGGTATACGTGGTGAAGAGCTGAGTACGGTGTACTATAAGATGGTGCAGTTGGCGGTGGAGGACACGCGGTTGACCTTCTGCTTGACCATATTACTAATGGCTGCAGTGGTGAGAGTGCATCAGAGTCGTCACTCTCCTCCGAAGTCCAGTCACAGTCGTTCATGATTTACCTACTTCCAACAATTCTCACAACCGTAATTCTTCTTCCTAGCACTGCAAGGTTTTCTAATCAAAACAACAAATAAAATGCTTGGAAGTAACAAGAAGTCAGTTCAAATAGGAAGACAACACTTGTATTCAATAGTTTTGTAATTAGTAAACAGCTGGTGTTCCTCTTTAGTAATTGGAAGAACAATGCGCAAAGTCTGCACATCAACACAGCTCACATCTATTTCTGGCACTTAAGTTATACTTTACACAATATTATAATCTTGTGAAATCACGCCCATACCCATAATCACAAACAAAGGATAATAGAAAGGCTGACAGGATCGCTTTTCTAAAATACAAAAACCCAACCCACACCCATCTCTCTTATGTAGTCTTCACCTCCAATTCTGACTTCGAATCACACAATTTGAAACATATATTATGTCATGCCGATGAGGAAAGGGATAGGATGAGGCGATGGTGTGAGTCTAGGCCGACTACGGACAAGTACCGTATTATCTCTAATATAAGCACAGTCTCCAATAATAGCACGTCTCCAATAATAGAACACCTTGGGGCGGCATTCAAAAAATAAAGTGCTCAGTCTCCATTATAAGCACACTGTGTAAATTCATTATCTGTACCGGCGAAAAAACCCTGAAATGTGTGTGTCTGACATATAAATTTGGCATGGCAACATGCCTCTGAAATGAGGTTGAAATAATAATGGAACAGTCTCCAATAAAGGAACGTCTCCAATAATAGCACGGGGCGGAGGTACATTGAAAAAATAAAGGACCGTGCTTATATTAGAGATAATACGGTATGTGGGGAGATGCGGCATGAAGCTATGAGGTGTGAAGACATGAGGCATGAAGAGATGAGGTATGAACAGATGAGGTATGAAGAGATGAGGTGTGAAGAGATGAGGTATGAAGGGATGAGGTATGAGGAGATGAGGTATGAAGAGATGAGGTATGAAGAGATGGGGTGTGAAGAGATGTGATACGATGAGATGTAGAGTTGTGAAAGTGTAGTTGGTGGCCTTTCACCCCTTACGTCAGAGAACAGCATTAGTGTCTAGACTAGACATCCCCATTTTCAGCCACTGGCTATGCAGCTCTGTTTTTGTTTGTGGTGTTGAATGGACGGAGCACAAAGGCAATAGAAAAGGTTAACGGTTTTTCTCCGCATCCGTTGCAACGCCACCACCCTTCAAGGATCAAAAGCAATAATTATTTTATTTGAAATCGGATGGTGAGCCAATATAGTTATGATGAAGAAAGGAAAAGGACAAAATGTTACGAGTTATGACACACTGTCCACCAACGTAACCAGATCTTATACAGGCAGCGAGTGCGACAAAATGGCACAAAACTGACAAGGAGTACTGAGACATTCGGCGACCTGACACCTAGCTCCAACACTTCTCCAACGTGCAAACCAACAACCTTCCAACTTGGAAGGCTCAGGTTCGGAAAGTTCTAAGAGGGGAAGGAAAGCGCAACGAAGAAGAGCACGAGCTACGTATCACGGCAACTAAGAATACCGAAAGTTACTGGATGATGACGAAACTAGTAAGACTATTGGACGGACCGGCTTCGCTACAACTCGACGACGCAAAGCAACAGCCCACCCAACTTGGGCGGCTCAAGTTTATGTAATAAACGCTGTCCTTCCCCTCGTGGAACTTTCCGAACCTGAGCTTTCCAAGTTGGAAGGGTGTTGGTTTGCACCTTGGAGAAGTATTGGAGCTAGGTGTCAGGACCCCGAATGTCTCAGTAAACAAGCCTCTTGTAGGAGCAAAGCAAATGTGCTTACATAAAATTATGACACAAATGTCTCAGTACTCCTTGTCAGTTTTGTACCATTTTGTCGCACTCGCTGACTGTATAAGAGGGATCTGGTTACGTTGGTGGACAGTGTGTCATAACTCGTTACATTTTGTCCTTTTCCTTTCTTCATCATAATTATCTTATTATTAGAAATTTTGGGTTATTTGACATGGACTAGAACGGGACTGTACAATACCACATATGGGATCAAAGTTACATACAGAAACAAAGGAACTCACGTATTTTGAATCATGTGTGAAATCCCAAGCCACACAGTGTATCTTCTAGAAGAGAGCGACATAGAAAAAGAACTGTTTTTTCTATACAAAACATGAACCGCCAAGGGACGTTCCGCGCAATAAAAGTGTTTCTTCTTGTTAATTTGGAAATACATTCCTTTTGTGTAAGAACTGCAATGGAAAACATAAATTAAACTGTAGATATCAACTGCAATACAATGATAATGTTATTGATTTTACATGTGTTGACGTCAGCATGTAAGCAGTGAAATTTGCATGGAGACCTAAATTAAACATCTGGAAAAACAAACCTTTGGCCGTAAGTATTGGCATGGTCTTCAAATTCTGTTTTCGCTTTGATGGATTTGTCACCAGCGCTGTCACCTGATCAGTTTCTCTAAGGGATGGATTCTTTCTTGGACTATTAGGTTGGAGTGCTTGGCCAAAGATTTCGAACATACCGAACACTGAAAAGGCATATCCCCCGTATAGGCATATCTCCAGTATGGATGCGTTCTTGTTCTGTCCCGGCTTCAGTGACACTTCAGTGCACTGAAAGGTGTGGAGGAGTAGGCACTATGACTCTGTGTAGACGATCCAGTCACTGAAGTAGGATTTGCGTGTTGTGCAGCCCTAGATCTGTGAACACTTGTCTTGGAAATGCCAGTCAGGAATGGGTCTCACCGAATCAATTTTAAGGACTGTTGAAGAGATCCTCTTTTACCTTACATTGCAGTTAGAGTAACGAAATGTATTCCTATCGCACAGCTATGAGTCCAAATATAGTCAATAACAGTGTCCTCGCAGGGAATGAAATGCACCCAATCATACAGAAGGGAAGGTCAGCTCTCCGTTGAAAATATATCATATCCTGTAATTCTTGTGTCGTACGAGCTCTAATGTATTCCAAGTATAGCAATGGAAAAAGTCTAGTTCCTTGCCAAATGGTTATTATATGCCTCGGTTTTTTACAGCTTTTATTTCCTATATTGACCTCGTACTCAGTCAATATTAGATTTATCACGACAAACAGTCCGTATTTCAAATTCCAGAACGATAACCTCATGAATCCCGGTTTTATGATTGCACAACCGTTGCACCATCGCCTACTCATGCAGTGACAATGCTGCACTAGGCACCGTTCAACCCGCGATATTCATGTTAAAACAAAATGGCGTCACGATTTATTGAAAGTGGTATAGTTGGTGGTACGAGTGTTCAAAACCATTTGAACTTCATACTGTTCGTCTTCTTTTTGACATGCTCTCTTTCCATCGTACTTAGCTTTTGTTTGTTGTGAGCTGTTTTGGCTTTCTCCTGTACCTCTGGGGGATGCCAAGTGATGGTTTTGAGAGGCTGGTGATGGCTGTGAGCGAGAGTTTTCCGATCGGCGTCGTCCTCGCTATAGCGATGAAAATACTAGTTACTGCGCACCTGGCAGATATCACAACACGTCGGAGCGTCCAGGAGCAAAGGAATCTTGGGTTTTCACTGGAATCTAGTTCCTCCAACATCGTGTAGCCCACCGTCGGTGAATGGCGGTCCAGAAAGGTCGAACCTGGTCTTCTGCAGCATCTCGCAGTCCTGCGAGGCACACCGTGTACGCCTGCCATGTATTGTACAAATAAAACTCATGCAGTAGTGGACTCTACAGTGATGAGTCTCAGCCTGTATGCTGCAAAAGACACAGGAAATGTGACTGGTGTCTGTACACTCAGTGACTGGACGCCAACACCCCAGTCTTCTCCTGCAGGATCTGTTTGACATTGACATTATGCAGTAGGTCAGCATTGACCTGGTTTGGCAGCTATCGTAATAGTATCTGCCTGGTTGGATGTAGCAGGTTGGCGTTTGCTCGTCGTTCAGTCCGGAATTTTCTTGTAACTCACGGTGGAGTACGCGCAGGGTTTGTGATCATCCCTGTTCACTTCAATATTATCAAACACAACGTTCCCTTTGTCACTCATCTTATCCTGAGTACTGAATTTGCTGACAATATTGCACCACACTTGTCACAACCTACCGCCACTGCTGGTGGTGGCGACTGGTTCGTCAATGGCGGTGACCAGGCTGACTGACTAGCTTCGAGACAGCGGCCTCGTTGTCAACCCCGCGGCAGCCTAAAGGTTGATTTTATCGATCCAGCCTCAGCGCCATGTTGACGATGCCCTAGTGACTGTGTGTCGTGGATTGCCTTGCCATCAGCGGTCATTGCCGTCCACCTTAGTGCAGCCCTCAAGAACTGGCTCAGCCCATGGGAGTCTCAAGTGGACAAAGTTGGTGCCAAAGTAGTTAAGAAGATTGGTGCATCGTGGTGTAGGTGAGCACATAGCTAGGACTTCCCAGCGCCTATTTGTCCAGGCTGCGATACTATGTGACATGCTGTACTGCACATTCCTTTCAGCACTGCAAGGCCGGCAGCTGGACCGACTGCAGGGGCCGCGCACATGCAGGCCGCCTGTTGCCAGCGCAGCATTCTGGAACGTTCCTTCCTTCTGAGATCCGTGGAATAATAACTTTCTTTGCTTCAAAGCAAGTTGCTTACCTTTCTGTTGTGCTCCCAGTGTCCTTACAACAATAACCTACAGCAATGTTTTATTTTCCTTTCCATTCCCCAACCAATGAATACTACAATGTCGATTCTATTTCTGAATACTTTAGTGTGTGCCCGCGCACGCACGTGTGTGTGTGTGTGTGTGTGTGTGTGTGTGTGTGTGTGTGTGTATACCTCACTCGCCACTCGAAGTTCTGTTCCCCATTACTGGAACACTGCCTGTTCTTTCATGACCTGCCATCATCTGCGGATGGGCATTCAATGATTGTATTGTGTGTGTGTGTTTCATTCAGAATCAAATCCGCTATCGTTGTTATAAGAGAAAATCTGTGGATTCACATCCAGTGCATTTGTAGATTTGCGTGCTTTTCTCGCCACGGGCGCA